GGGTACGGCTCGCATAATTTACAAATGAAAACCCGCCAGTGTGCGGTATGCCTCGGTTCTTGATGACAGTGGTAAAACACCGAAAGTCCCCCTTAGAGTGTGTGTGTGTGTGTGTGGATTAGGTTTATGTTACTTTGTGGGGACCAAATGTGCACCACAATGTAATAAAAACCTGTTAGTTTGACGTTGTGGGGACCATTTTTCAAAATCTGTGAATGCAATCAAAAAATTAATTCGGTAGGGGTTAAGGTCGCCATGTTGAGATTAGAGTTTTCCCCATAGAAATGAATGGAGAGTCCCCACAAAGATATAATTACAAACCTCTGTGTGTGTGTGTGTCTGTGTGTGTGTGCGTGTGTGTGGGTGTGTGTGCGTGCGCGTGCGCGCGCGTGCGTGTGTGAGCTCTATGATGGAGCAGTTCTCCATCTGGGCTGTGCACTTTGCTCTGAGGGTTAGGCTCCAGAATCACAGTGGATACTAAGTGGCTTTGGAAACAGGATGGATACATGCCTTAACATACAGTGGTTTAACCTTCCTTTGAATGATTTTAGGGATCTAGCAAACTGCACAATATCATTTATAAAAACAAAAACATTCAGTAGCATAGTCCATGTCTCTGTGGTTGGGGGCGGGGAGGGGTGGGGGGGGTAGGCCAGAATAAGATCTGAATTCTCACTTTCCATGTTAACAGTGTATCAGGGTGGCGCTGCAGTTACTGAGTACCACAGTCATGCGTTGGCATCTTACAGTATGACAGCTATTAAAGGTATCCTGGCATAAATAGGAAAATAAAGATGATCTGAGTCGCCCTTACAAGCACACCAGGGCCCTATTTATAGCCAGAAGCTTCCGCATTCAGTGCTGCTTAGCTGTGAGGTCAACAAGGGCACAAATGCCGCTCTATCCGTTAGCAGCGCCACAGTCCTTCCTGAGATAACCCCGCCTCTTCCTGTGTGAATATCAGGCTAACAGGTGAGAGGCTCTAAATCCGGCAATATCCGCGTGGCTGGAAGAGGCAGCCTCCCGAAGATCCTGCTGTGCGGTTGGTTTTGGTTTCGCGATTCCGATTTAACAGGTTTCTGCTAGCATGGTGTGGAGCTGCCAGCCCGTTCAGCAGCTGCGTTGAAGAGGCACAGAAACTCCTATAAATAGGAGTGGCCCCGCAGCGAGGCGCGGGCGGGGAATTTTCCATTTGGGGGCTCTCACCCGGGACACGCCTCCCCTTTGTTAGTAAACACAGCACTTGCCGGCCGTGACCTGGTGACCGCTCACTGCTGCAGGGGGCCGGTGAGCCGCCGCACAGCCCCCCTCGACACGGCCGAGCGACAATCCCTCTTTTTTGGCTAATTTTCCCATCTTTTTTTCCTCCCGGGGGGGTAACGGAGACAAACAGATGAAAGGTGACACCAGTCTTCGTACGAGGCTGCAAGTCTCTTCCACCGGCAAACTCGGGAATACCGGGAGACATTCACAACGCTGGAACATTCTGGCGAGATGACCTCCTGTTACATACCTACAGAAGTCGACTACTGCGTTTACGGTTTGTATGTTATTCTGAGAGAGACCCGGAGCCTTGCGCAATACCGCACCAACACCGTATGCAGCAAGGGGTCAAGCAGTTACTGCGCGGTATAAATGACGGGGAGAGCAGAGCCAGGCATGCTGGACGGACACACGCAAGGAGAGACGGACACCGAGTGCAAGTACTCACGGGGAGCGGCCTTGGAGTGTGAAGGGGACTCCCAGAGCCTCCATGTTCGCTCTGAAGGTGCTTTGTCAACCCTCGGGGGGCAGTGAAAGTCACAGTGTGTCAGCATAGCGTGTCTCTGTGTGCATGGGGGGGGGGGGGCGCAATTCCAGAGAGGGCCTTAGCAACTTCAGTCCCAAAACAGTCTGAACAGTCCCAGCTGAGTAAGAGAGGAAGCTGACAGACTTTCTCAACGTACCGCCTACCCAGAGCCGAGTTACGTGCAGCACAGCAGGCTTAGATACATGACGCAATGTGTGCGAAAGCCCCGCCAGGGAAGCAGACCCCCAACACTCCGTTACCTCCTAAGCATGCCCTCTGCGTTTGTTCACTGCATGCAATTCATAAAACATAATGCTCACTTACCGTGCACATCGGTTTATACGGCATAACTGCCTACAGCTGTGTGCATTTGCCCTGCGATGGACAGGAATCCCATCCGGGGTGTCCTTGCCTCGCTCCCAGTGCCCCCAGCTCTCTGGGTCTCTGTAATGGGTAAGTGGTTGGAAGATTATCCGTAATGTGGAGCTCTTTCATCAGTCAGACACGGGAACGTGAAATGTGTGTCGGGAATCCCTGTCTCATCACACCATCCTGGATGTTTCTGCAATGACCTTGAGAACAGAGAAGCTCTACTTGCAGATCCAGGTAAAACCGGTGAGCAGCTGCCAGTCGGAAACACGTTACGGCACTGCGGAGTCACGCCTTTTAATGTCAAAGTTCAATAGCTACAGTCCTCTGACAGAGAGCCATCCTTGTATATCAAGTTTAAATGTTTCCTGTCAATTTTCCCACCGCAGAGATATTTCTGCTTAGCAATGGAGCCTGATATTGCCTTATTTATGCAGCCGCATATTTCGATACCCCAACAACCATTTTAGGCTCTAATTCTGGACTAAATTAGTCAGGTCTATTGTCTCCTTTTTGGTCAAATAATGTTATGAAATTACAGCCAATATCCTTAAATCGTGAGCTTGCATGGGGCCTTTCCTTGGTATTCAGTGTGGGTAGCTCTGCGGAAGTATTCAGAATAACTGGGGAGGAGTTACAAAGGGCCTGTGCACTCACACCTCGGGCAGCAGGAGTGAAGCAGTCTCTAAATGTTTTATTTTGGAGCCACAAATAATGGAAAACGAGGATGCGTTGTTACTCATATGGCCTGGTTTTATTGTGACTCATTCAGTCATCAAACCTACTTAATAAAGAACTAAAATGGACTGAAATACAGGACTGAGGAACTCTGGGTAGGTTAACAACACAAATGATGCTTTTCCACTGCCACCGAGAACCGAGTTGTATCTGAGCTGTACCGTGAACTGGCGCTTTTCCAGTATCCAAGTATCCGAGTGGTACCCACACTGACATCACCCTGCTTACTAGCAGGACTGAAAGCGTCACCAAACCAAGCTGGTTACATCGCCACCAACTGATTGGTTGAAATGCAGGAAGATATCGATGTTCTGCGCATGGATTATATAATGGAAAAAAGGGTATCATTCATCATTAGTAGTTTCGTACATCGCAATGTATTGATGCATTCCTCGTAACTCGGAACTTTGGAAATTTCCAAACAATACCAGCCCCTATAGAACAGCTGAACTGAATGGATTTGTAATGCATACTTACACAAGCGAATTCCTCTAGCATTTAATGCTAACATAGCAGACGTGATAGCGGAATTAGCACACAGTAAATCATGATGTACACTGCGTGAACAGTAAATAAGTATCACTGTCCGTAATGCCCCCGACCCTAGTAAAAGAGCCAATAGTGTTGAGAGAGCCCCTGATTCAAAACTCAATATGTTTGGGTAGCTGATGGACGAGTGCTGAAGACCATTCGGGAGCTGAGACCTTGCGTTATCAGAAAACGAGTGCTGAAGACCATTCGGGAGCTGAGACCTTGCGTTATCAGAAAACGAGTGCTGAAGACCATTCGGGAGCTGAGACCTTGCGTTATCAGAAAACGAGTGCTGAAGACCATTCGGGAGCTGAGACCTTGCGTTATCAGAAAACAGCCTTGGAGCATCAGCTTGTCCATAAATGTAGCAGGTCACTGCCGAAAAAATTTAGGGAAACCAGGAACAGCTGTCATGTTGTGAGAAGAACGAGAGAAAAGCAGGAAATAAATGCTTGCTTGGCGGGACACTGAGACACGCAGACCACAGGTCAGCAGCGGATGACAATCAGCGGCCGTTTTTGAAACTGAATGATTTTGAGTCAGCAATAAACCGCCACTTAGATTAGATTCTTCTTAAAACCTAAAAGCACATCACTGGAAAAATCTGCAGGTTTGCTCCAATTCACTGAATGAAGATGGGAACAGCGATTCCAACTATAAATATGTCTTTTTGATCCTGTTTCCTGCAAGCTACTTTACCTTACGCTTCTGTGAAAAATGCACGAGCATCTGTGTGTGCGTAATCTGCACGACTCCCCCAAATCAAACGGCCGAGCAGAGAGTCCATGCGTCATTCGTTATCTAATTACCTGAAAAGGTAAAACTTCTGCTGGTCTGTACAAAAATGGCCACTTATAAAAAGAAATAATTGTAATATTATTATACTGCACAGCTGAAAACATCTCAGAAGCTTTAATAAGTAACAGGGACTGTACTGCTGTATGTTAGCAATGCCAACTATATACACCTCATTCCTTTCCCATGTAACCTACTATAGCAAACATCTCCTAACCATCTGAGGAATATAAACACATCTAGAGCCAAGAGTATGAGCTCTGAAGCATGACGTGTCGGGCCCCAAGCACCTGCCGGCGTCAATCTGCCGCCTCCTCCTCCACCAGGCCTCCCCGGACAAACTACGCCTTCGCTGCGGAATTCTGGGAAGATCTTTCCTGAGAAAATGCTGACGGGGAATCGACTCGGTGAAGCTTGGAGCTCCCACGACAGGAATGACTGCCGCTTTGCACGTGTAAATCTGAATCTATAAATGAAAATGATAGCGGAAACACACTGGCAGTTAAGACGGACTAACAGACAGGGGTCTCCAGCTGCCCCAACCTGGGTTACCATCCGGGATTCACAGTCCTCAGCTGCTCTCCATTCACTGCCCCGCAAGACCGGCCATGTTTGTTTACCATTTGGCAATGACACATACTGAGACAAACTCCTGCCTGACCAAGTGACCTATTTACCTTCCCTGTCCTTCAGGCTGCACAGAGACCCCAGACAAACATACTTAACCAGGCATAAACAGCACAAGTAGAATGAAGTATCAGAGAACGAACGCCCCCAATTAAATGACAGCGTTCATTTAAATCACTCGCACAGCCAGACAACTATCCTGACAGCTGAGCACATAGAAAGCCCATGTCTTGTGACCCAACAGCTCCGGTCCTGAGAACTGGAACCTGTTGAGCGGCTCATCCCCAAGGCAAGGTCAGGTCTCAGTCATCCCCTCACTACCACCATCGGAGTCTGACATACAATGATAAAGATGATAATTATTATTATGTTATTATTATTGTTGTTATTCTTATTGTTACAGTAAAATGCCAAAATATTACACCATAATTGTGCACGACTCTCGCTCACACTTTGCTGCAGCAGACCCGTTATTGAACCATTGCCATCTGTTTGGTAATAATACTTGTTCAGCATAAGATCTCACTGCCAGCCACCCCAGAACCTCCTCTGGGTGCCCCCCCCCCACCCCACATGTACCTAACTGTGATTCCAGGCTGTGCAGTGCAGTATGTCTCACATCCTCACTGTAAGCCCTGATCCTGTTCCTTCTATCCTAACCCCCCTGTCTGTGCTCCCAGGCTGTGCAGTGTGTCTCACATCCTCACTATATGCCCCGATCCTGTTTCTTCCATCCTAACCCCCCTGTCTGTGCTCCCAGGCTGTGCAGTGTGTCTGACATCCTCACTATATGCCCTGATCCTGGTCCTTCTATCCTAACCCCCCTGTCTGTGCTCCCAGGCTGTGCAGTGTGTCTCACACCCTCACTATATGCCCTGATCCTGTTACAGGCTCCTTTGTACATAGCACCAAGCAAACCAGAAAACATCCTTATATATCGATGGTGAATAAAGTTGTTTCTAATTCAGTGACATTAAGATACTCCTATTCTAAGTGCTGACATTTACTAATAAATGTTAAGGCCCTTTACACCCCAAACCACACAAAAGCATGTTTCATTCAAATGAAGGCTAGCAGCAGTTAGCGCTCGTTAAATCTTGCCGGCACATATTGAGGGTGATTCTTCTCAGCATACATAAGGGACGAGGTCACATGGGGAATGCGGATGGGTGGATAACAGAGAGCATCCCTGCACGGGTGGGGGGCAGCACGCGTTTGCAAACAAAGCCGCGTCTGTGTGTCGGGGTTACCGCGCGGTAACGGGGCTGACGCCATGCGCAAGGCGCCGAGGCTGGACTCCCGCGGGCACCGTGCGGAGCCATGCACAATCCATCCAGGTGCTTCTGCCGGACGCTGAAATCGGCATCCCAAAGTCTTGCTCCACACAGGAATCAGACGGCTTAAGTAACTAATTTTCGCCTAGTTAACAATTGCTTCACATCTATTATACACAAATCTCTCTCTTGGAATTAGAACCCACAACCATAAGGTTCGGAGTCCATGTCCTTGGCTGATCCATTTCCTCCTACAGACACGATCCCAAACGCACCCGAACGGAACACCTCGAAGGAGGCTGCTATCTCCCGATGTAAAACCCAGCAGGACCCAGTAAACCAGTTAAAAATTTCATTGTACGATCTCACCCTCTATTGGTAAATTAAAACAAGCTGTTTCACGCCATTACGCCCGTTAACATCAGAAAGTGCAAGCTCTCGCTTTCTTTTCTAAATTTATATGGCTAATTAGCGCTGCGCGACTATACTCGGTGCTTATTTTACAGAGCGCTACCTTCCCAAGATAGTAACATTACGCTGCTTTCCAGTTCGCCCAGGTTTATCTTTCCTGTTTTCTCTATGCACGGAGAGGTACGCGTGCTCCACTCTGCCGTCCACCAACCCCGAGGTTAGTAGGTTCCATCCTCAGGATCACACTCATTTACCCGTAAACAATGCTTATTATCTCCGGAATTCAAGGCAAACGCCTGGCCAGTAACACTAAATCTCTTCCTAACATTAAATACACTTACTGACGCACAACAGCCTGCACTTCAAGGCCTCGTTATTGTCCCAGGAATGCAAGCCGCTCTTTATGTATCTCACTGGCATTAAGGCTACCTATAGCTTCAGTCCAACTTGAACTGCGACCCTGGGTGTGCTTTAGAGCGGCACGTCTCAATTAAGCAATTTTGTGGGGGGGCGTAAACTCAAAACAAGTACTGTAGATGATGATTATGATCATAAATCCACGTCTGGAAGGAGAACCTATAGCGTGCTGGTTTGCTCATTTGCAAAAACCTAGCAAACTGCAATTACATAATTATCATTGTATATTACAGGTCCCCGAAACACAAGCCTAGCCGCCACCTAACCCACTCCATATGAGCTCAACAGTGTTCACTTTTCATGCAGACCCTTTTACAAAATCCTGTAAATACAGCAAATAGGGGGTTATTATATGCATGTATAAAATGAAAACAACTGATCATGAACACATGGCCATGCTGCGTGTGTGATCGGTCATTCAGGATGCGGCCTCAGTCCTACTTAATGCTGGGCTAAACGGCTGATGGCCACCCGCACGACAACAGAACCCCGACAAGCCGTCCGGACGGATCGCGGTCTCCGGCGCGGTACCATCTACCGGGAAGCTGTATCCATACCAGGCTGAGAGGAGGTCGCCAGCCGAGCTTCCTCTAGTATTATGTGTAGATAAGCTACTACAACATCAATTACCTGGAGGATGCGAACTTGTTTTCACGAACCCCGAAAAGCACTTCGTTTTCACTCTGGGGATTTTCAGGAAGTCTCATATAGGCCTCCTGAAAATATATTGATCTCTGAAATGAGATTTAAATGTGACTGCAATTTACATAAAACCTTTTACTTTTCTATTTAGGCCTACGTTTATTAACCCTTTTCACCTTTTTTTCCATTTTTCTCACATACGATAACTGTCCTGGAAGAAACACAGTGATCATCGAGTTAAACAATCTCAGTTTATAAACTAGGTCGTTCTAAAGTACGGCAGCACTTATATTAAGGAATTAAGTTATTACCCGATAACTGAGAAGATGAATATTTTTTTGACTGATCCGCGAAGTGCAAAGCGGTAACATATGCCCCTTCGTCACTGTTCTCACACACGGATAAAGCAGAAGCATGCAGGGGGATGCCGAGTCCAAAACAGCCCAAAAAGGATTTAAATAGAAACCAGAAGTGGCAAGATATGTGTCAGAAGAAATTCAACACCATTAAATCTCAAGATATATATATACGTTAGGATTACAAACCCCAGGCCACACTCCCTGTGGGGAGCGACTGCTTTAAATGTTCCCAATATGAAAATGAAGAGAAGCCGCCTTATACGGGACAGAAACAGC